TATAAGTAGACCACACTACAATAGTTCTAGTCAATCATGACTGGTTTTTCAATTTTTTATCGATTTATAAACGTCTTCTCAATTGTTGGAGACACTGGTTTGTTAAAAGTTGACAATACATTTTTAACTGCACTAGCAACAGACATGATCAACAGAATACCAACTTCATTCATAAGAGTCCAGATACAGGGCTCGTACCTAATATACGAAGAAATACTGACTTTATAAAAAAAAGTCTACTAAACTTATCAACATGCATAGAATTGAATATAATGATCAAAATTATGATTATTCTTGTGAGAACGGCCAACTAGTGAATTCGAGGAATCTCTAAGAAGCTTTGAAAGTGTCGAAGATATTCCATCTAATCATTTTTTTGGAAGAATATTCCACAATCGCGAAGTTTAGCTTCCCAATAGGACAGATTTCCTTATGATGAAATAAAAAGACCTAACATACATCAGTACATAATAGGTACTTTAAAAACATCGTATAGATGACGTATTCCAACATATTTTTTTTCAATAGTAGGTCTCCTGAATCAGAGCTACGATTGGATGATTATCATAATTTGTTAATATGAAATTCAACAGGTGGATATCTTACTATGAAGCTATTTGATTATTAAGGAAGCAATGTAGATAGTAACTAAGCCTAATCATGAAGATCTAAAAGAATCGGAGAAAATGAGATTGCTAGTCCCACTATGAACATTAAATGACCGAATAATAAAATGTAGTATAAACGTTCAGTTGTTGAATGAATCTCGTGTACATATTTAACTCATATAAATATAAAGTAGCCGGAAGGTTCTATTTGTTTTATTTGTAACTCGTCGTCTAGATATACAAGAGCACTCCAGACATGATGCTCGCTCCGACATCAGACCTAGTATCAGTCGCCTTAAATTACTGACTTGGCCCCCAAATGCCCTGGTACGACTGAGAGTGTGGAGCGTCCGCTATCCCTCTTAAAATGCTCTAACATGGCCACGCGTATATAGCCTCTGCCAGGGAAGTCCTACTCACCGCCTTCTTGCGGCAGGGTATTGTTTACGAAATTGAGAGGAAGAAAACCGAATGTTCAGCGCTTTAATCGGGTTGATGGACACGGAGAGTCCACCTACGAGAGTTGGAAAACCCTCATTCCAAACCAATGGTGCACATGGTCTCCAGTATCCTGAGGGAACAAATGACGTATGAATCAATCGCTGGGCACCGGCTATCATGGGACTGCGTCTCCGCACGATGCTCCACTGCCTTGTGGATCAGACCTATAGGTCAAACGCTCCGGGTGTGTAAGCTTGTATATGATCACATATATTCATCTTTTAAAAATCTACGTTTCTTGTCTAAGTTTAATCAAATCAAGATAGAATAGTTGAGTATCTTCCAAACATAAGTAAACTTCAACCAGTTGTCTTGATATGTTCCATTTTTTTCTTTTCATCCAACAGAGGAGTTATGTATTATCACATGTTTATTCAATCGCTATGTCAGGGTCTAACAGATTTCGATCTATGGATTAATATTTTGTCACATTAGTTAAACTCAGGATAGACATTAAATAGGAAGAATGTATTTGTAAAATCTCAGTAAATCAATTTGAATTAAATCCAACGTTTCGCTGACAATCTGATCTTACTTACTTCCCCCACGCCCAATGGAACATAGACCGCGGATCAGCAATTCTCTAACCCACTCTGTCCTGGACCTTCCTTTCTAGTTCTATCCAGTTGTTGTTCTATCTTCTCATTTATATTTCTATTTTTTAACGAATTGTGTTCTACTTTTCTTTTAGTTTGGTCTAATCTTTTTCAAATACATTCTTCTTCTTTATAATATCTCACATCAACTGAGAGCCCAAACACTGTGAAACTTTTCGATCAAATTTAGGTAAACGTTTTTTATATTTATCAGAATAGTATTTAAAAAGCTTTTTTCATTACAAATATTTGAATTACAATAATTCTGGGAAAAGCACAGGTTTATACAGACACAACATTCATCCCTTAATTATTAGGGATTAAAGAATTCATTAGACCATGTAATTATAACCATACAGCAAACATTGAGATGTCAGTCATCCCAGTCAGTTACAACGTAAGCCCAAGCACATTTGTTCATCCGTTCAAGTTGCCATACCTCGTTAACACTATAAGATGATCACCGAATTCATAGATGTCGTTAATTAAATGTAGGTAATATATTATGAAAAGATTGTATATAAGGATAAAGTACAGGAAGAAAGATATAAAGTAATTTTAACCCTATAGTTTAAGGGAAAACAGAGAGTGTATACACCTACGCCATTGTGATCGATTCTGAGCCATGTCACCCAGAGTCTCCAATCATAGGTTACGATAGTCACATGGACCCCTATCAAGTAGTTTGCATCTACCAACATGGCTCACACTAGAAGTAACTTCAAGCACTGGATGTACTTGTATCAAAGAGTTGATGATCACTCTGAGACTTAAACCGAGTACCATTCGTTCAAAATGCTATCGCATTACCTTCCTTAACAACAATGAGAATATACAAGTAAACAATACCAACTGAACTAATAAAGAAAGATTCATCTTATAAACCATAATCTTTTCTTTGGAGATGAATAAAGCTAAGTGTAAATTACATGATCTATTTTCAACATTTTGATAGAAACTAAACATGGAGTATGTAAAAGTAAGTGGATAGAGAAATTCAATGGGAATAAACTAGGTAACTGAAATATTTCCATATAATTTTTACATGAATAGTTATCCAATAAGAAAACTCTGTGATCTTTCAAGTTTTATAATGTTATTGTGGTGTGTGCTATTAATGTCAACAGATATAAGTAGTATGTAACCTCAACCGAAAGTGAAATAACTGATGGTAGAAGGTAAAGAAGATGAAAGAAAAGAGTACAAGAACAAGGAATGATTGATATGGTATAGTATCAGTTTATATGTTAAGCCCATATACTTTATTCTAGTTACTGGCCAAGCCAATTCGCCTATCCATTATTAGTCATATTTTGATCTTGTTCATTATTCGCTTATTGACCTTGACTATACTTTTATATGAGCATATATGTGTACACTTGGTATCTTATTCATGGTATGTCTGTCACTCATTTTTGTCCGACTATAAATGTTGATTAACGCTTGCTTAAATCGAGTTGGCTTCCCAGCCATCTCCAATACGTATCATCTTTCGCATCGCTCTCGAGTTGGCTTCCCAGCCAATCTCCATTGCGCATGATCTTTGCTTCGTTCCGCTCTCATCTATTCGCCTCATCACTCTGATTCCCTAGCCAGACCAATGAGTGTAGAAATTATATGTATTCTAAATCCATTCTCGTATTTGACGTATTTAACTACGTTGTTCACCAACGCGGAATAAAGTCATTTATTACATACGAGGATAGACAGTACGTATATTTTGACACAAACAATCATTCATACGATCAAAAAGGAATTAGATTTACGCCGACAACAATGGAATCAAAATAACAATGAAGTGTGAAACAATCGATTGACATTTTGCAAACAAAGTATTTAATGTATAGTTCTCAAGTTTTAACAAGACAGTAATATTGCATTAAAATATATTTGGTTGTCGCCAATGGTGTTCTCGTTTACTATAGGACTATAGATACACATTGGTGCAGAATTCCATAATATAACGAAACAACCTCCAGGTCCTGAATGGTTCTCTAATTCTGATTGGTTTTGTTCATGATAAAATGCATTTATATCGATTAAACTACTGTTTCACACTTTAAGTAACACTAATGGTCCTGTAAGGTGGAGCTATTTTACGCAAAAGAACATTGTTACAATATCACAAGGGTTTTTTGTGGAGATTTAGTAATTTTTATAGTTAAGATCATGAGTCAATTGAAGCTAGACCACCATCGAAAACCTGGAAGCACTGGATGGCCGTTTCCTCCTATTATGGGACTCCTCAATGGCAGTGAGCATACACGAACCCGCTCTCGTGAGATTCGAACCCAGGACCTAACAGTTTCGAGCCAGAGCCCTTAACCGATAGACCACTGAGCTGGCATCCAACGGTGTTAATGTCTAACCTCAACCAATCCACGAAATTGCACAACCAACTTCCAATGTAGATACCTGTCTCTACCTGACGTGGATTAGCTCCACTAGCTTCAACTGAATCATGATCTTAACTATCAAAATTGTTACAATAGACTGTCTATATGACTAGATAATACACAATCTGACATCAGATATTCAAAAAAGCTATGAACATTTTTCAGTAATGGACAACAATGAAATGCATCCTACACATTTTATATATTATGTAAGACAAGTCAGCTGACACCATCTATATGCTAAAGAAACCACCAACACAGTAATCGAGTATCGTCTAGTTCATTATTATCTACCTTGAATACTTTAAAAACATACTATAAATATCACTGTGAACCCTTTTGAGAATAAACAGTTTTTATATTAAGAATGAAATTACTGTGAGACTATAAATTATGGACGACATTTAAGTGACACTAGGCTACCTTTGAGAGTGTCTACTTAATCACCAGAACCAACTGAGGGTAAGAAACCTGTGTAAGGAATTATGATTACGATTTACAGTTGATAGTTAAAGTTAAGTATTAGATTTAGGCTTCTCATCACAAATTAACATCATCCATAATGTCAAAACTCTATTTGACCGAATGAATGAGTAAATTTCGTGCCGAAATTTGGGATCTGTTATCTTAAATCTGATTGGTTCATTCATAAGCTTTAATTTCATCAAAATTATAATAACAGTTCGGAATACATTCACTTGGTGTTGTTTACTTATATCTTCCCATTGTTGTATAGGACTGCAATTGATGAGTCTCTTGTTGGTATACATACATCCTATGCGGACTGCCTCGGTACTGCCTGAAGTTCGGAATACATAAAAATCGACTATTCAACCTTACAGTTGTATCATTAGCAAACAGCTTGTAAGGTACATTCAACACAAATATGGATCACTTACCAGTATAGTTTTCATCAGTGTATAATAATAAAGATATCCACATTATCCAAATGATTTGATCCATACAAATTAAGTGTTAGATCTTTATTGATATTTAATTAATAATACAAATACTACTATTACTACTACTAAGTATATGGAATAGAAAGATTACATTTATGTATTGGATTGTAAATGTATGTTTTCATAAATATCAAAATAGACTTCATTTGATAACTAAATTTAAAGTTAAATCTAATCTGTTCATGGTTATTTTAATTTAAACAAACAAGTAATGTTCCACGAGGTTGTTGTTGCTGTCACCGTTGCTCCTGCTGCTGTTGTCGTCGTCGCTGTTCTTGTTGACAAATGTAATTCATTCATTTAGTTTATTACAAAAATTGACAATATAAAAATAGATAGGGAAAAAAAATCTTAAACACTTGTGATTGGTTGATTTTTCTTATTGGTTAATCACTACAAAAAAGATTAATAACTATGAATGTATATGTATGTATTAAAATGGATTACTTACTTACGTGCATGTTACTCCCAATGGAGCATTGGCCACCGACCAGCATTCTCCAACACACTCTGTTCTACATCTTCCTTCATAGTTCTATACAATTTTTGTTCATTCTTCTCATGTCTCTCTCCATTTCTCGAAGTAATGTGTTTTTTGTTCTTTCTCTTTTCCGTTGTTTTTCACGATTCCAAGTGATGAGAGCTTGTCTTGTGACGCAGTTGGGTGATTTCTCCAATGTGTGTCCTATCCACTTCAAGCGCTTCTTCCTGATTTTTTCCTCCATTGGAATCTGGTGTATTCTCTCCCACAGTAGAATGTTGCTGATAGTGTCTGACCAACGGATGTGAATTTTCTTGCGTAGAAAACTGTTAATAAACACCTGTATCTTCTGTAGCTCTTCCGAGGGCTATAGCCGATCTAAATCCCGGATATAGGAGGTGGGTTGGTCATGTAGTAAGCAACCCCATCCAGTAGAAAACCAACTCGCTAACAAAAAGCTAACCAGGAAAAAATCAAAATGGGTCATGAATTTCTTATTCGAATTTGATCAGCCAAATAAAGGATCATTCTAAAGTTGATCGATCACAGAGAATATTGAATCAAATGTATTAAATTGTGGTATTAAGTGCATAGATCAAGTCTTAAATTAGATCTGTTGTTGATTTAGATTATAAATCCAACATTTGCCATTACTTCTTTCATGAGTATAAATAAAATATTCTGACGAATATCAACTTGTTTGAAATGTATGTTAATTGTTTTCTTTTTGACTGCATACAACCACCCAGTAGCTATCTCTTATTAAGCATTATATGTTGTTATTAATTGCCATACTGGGGAATACCTACTGTTATAATGAAACAAAAACTGTTACTTTTAATAGTTGAATTTATGAGTCAGTTAATGCTAGACAATCATTGAAAATCTGGACGGCTGTTTCGTTCTACTATGGGACTCCTCAGTAGTGCGCATACACGATCCCTCAAGTGGAAATCAAACTTACGACCTATTGGTTTTGCGCTTGAACGCTTAACCTCAAGTATACAACGATGTTAATATCCAACTTCAACCCTACCATGAAATCGCTCCTCCCTCCACCATTATCTTCAGTAAGTCACTACCTCTATAACAGACACAGTTCAACTCTACTGATTATGACTGATGAATACAACTATTAACTTACTATTCCCCCCCCTCTTTTCACAAATAATTCGATTATATTTATAATAAATTTTAATTTGTCTCATTGATTATTGTTGTTTTTTGTTTAAATGATTATTAATTGAAAGTTGTTATGCCAAATTTTTTTTTATCCTTTACTTAATCACTAAGGTAATATAATAGAAATTAATGAAAGTATTAATAGTGATTAATCAACTGAATTTGAAAGAAAAATGGCGCCTTCTATTAGATGAAAGTAACCAATTTTAAACTAGGATACATAATATAGTTGCTCTGTAGTGTGGGTTACTTATATCCATATAAGTAGTATATAATGATGGTTGAGCAGAGAATGTATTTCAGTAGAACACCGATAAGGAAAGAACAGGAACGAAACGCAGTTGGAATGAAAATGCATGAACAATGATAATCGGAGATGATAGACTGATATCTACAGAAGAAACAGACAAGATTGAAACAATGGATTAATAGTTTGCAAATAAGCTGTTTACTGTATGATTGTCAGATTTTAGCCAGATATATTCTGTAATTTTGTGCTTAAATACATTCGATTGTTATCACAAGGGGGGTTTTGTGGAGATTTTAGAAGTTTAATTAGGTAATAAAAATGAACTGACTGACAACTATTGAACTGGCATAGAACGGTAGTGAACAAAGACACGAGTGGAGACAATCGAATGTTTTTTTTATATAGTTTAGATCATCAGTCAATTGAAGCTAGACCACCATGAAAAACCTGGAAGCATCAATCCACGAAATCGCGGGACCAACTTCCATTGGACTGAAGCAGATCATGAGGTAATTCCTGGAGTTCTGATGAGGTTAGACATCAACACCGTTGGATACAGGCCGGCTCAGTGGTCTATCGATTAAGTGCTCGCGCGCAAGACTGGTAGGTTCTGGTTTCGAATCTCGCGAGGCGGGATCATGAATGCGCATTACTGAAGAGTCCCATAATAGGATGAAATGGTCGTCCGGTGCTTCCATGTTTTCCATAGTAGTCTAGCTTCAATTGATTCATGATCTTAACTATATGAAAAAATCATTCGATTGTCCCCACTCGTGTCCTTGTTCACCAGAGTTCTATGATATTTCCATAGTCGTCAGTCAATTTATTTTGATAACCTCATCAAAGATCAGTCATTCTAGATTACACTAAGTATTTGTTATCATCAAAAACCGGGACCATTTTCATTTGTCTGACATTTTAATATATAGTCAATTCTTTATATTATATTTGAGCTATATCCAATATTTTTCGGGTATAAATATTTTACTTCCGCCATTATTGATTTGTATCTGTCATAAGTGTCTATTAAATATATAAGTTAGATCTTTGTATAGTGAACTGAAGATAAAAGAACTAAAGTATCTAGGTCTATTGATTACAATCAATAATTGTTGAGTATGCAGAGGAATTCAAATCTCAAAAGATAACGGTACAAAGATACTTTGTTTGTTACACTTTTATATGGAAACTTGTATTTATGAATACTAAGACCTATTTCAAAATGAAGTGTGTTCATAATATTCTTTCTACTTACTTACGGCTAGTAACCCTCATGGAGGAGCACAGGCCAAACATCAGCGCTCTCCATTTAACTCTGTCCTGGACATTCCTTTTCAGTTCCTTCCAGTTTCTATTCATGCTTCCCATGTTTGCTTCCGATTCCTAACGCAGTGTGTTATTCAGCCTTGTACTTTTCCATTTACGTTTGCAATTCCAAGTTAGCATTTGCCTTTTGATACAGATAGATGATTTCCTCAACATATGTCCTATCCACTTCAAACATCTTTTCCTAATATCGTCTTCAAATGGAAGATGGTTTTTAATCTGATAGAGTAGGCTATTGTTGTTGGTAGGATCTTTTGTTGAGAACCGTTTATAAATATTTGTACACTCTAGATGATGGTTATAATAGTTATCGAAGTTTCAACTCCATACAATAGAACTGACCTGACATTCGCTATAGGAACTTTCAATTTGATATTAGTTGACAGACAGTTATTTTGTGTTCCCTATGTTCTTCAACTTTAGAAAAATGGCCTTCAATTCGCTAATCCTCACTTGTACATCTGTATCAGATCGTCGTTGTTTTTCAATGATACTGACCAGGTACGTAAAAGATTCAACCTATTCCAGAGTTTCTCCATCATGTGTGATTGAGTTGGTGTTCTCGTTGTTGTATTTGAGGACCTTGCCTTTTCTCTTGTGTATGTTGTGGCCTACCATTGAAATTGAAGTAAAGGATTACAATTTCTAAGTCTTAATGTTACCATAGTGAGGATTTCTAGAAAGTGTGTCCAGTTAGTCATATATGAACCACATGGTATGCCGACGATTTAAAGCATTGTGTGAGCCTGTCTAATAAATATTTATTAACTCGAATACATTTGAAGTATATGTGATGATATTATGAAAAACCGTAAATCAACTACTAAAATCAAGAAAGGTGTTTTGTTGAGATTGTAGTAATTTAATAGTTGAATTCATGATTCGATTAAAGCTAGACTATCATAAAAACCCTGAAAGCATACAAAATCGGGTGATCTAGGTTCAAATCCTGCGGGGGGGAATCGTTGATGAGTACTGCCACTGAGGAGTCTCACAATAGGACGAAATAGCCGTCCAATACCTCTAGATTTTCTATGAAGATCTAGCTTAATCAAATAATGAGTTCAACTATTAAATTACTGAACTGTCCTTTATCTTTTCACAAAAAATTAATATAATATATCAGAAGAGGGTTTTGTGGAGATTCTAGTAATTTTTATAGTTGAAATCATGAGTCATTTGAAGCTAGACAACCATGGAAAACCTGTAAGCTCACTTGTGACTGGAGTTCTAATGAGAAGCAGTAACCAATGAAGTTCAACCGGGTTTGTTGTGAGATAGTAACTTACTGAAGACAGTGGTGGAAGGTTGCTAAATTTCGTGGATTAGTTGAAATTAGACATTAACATCGTTGGATACCAACTGGCTCAATGGTCTAGAGGTTAAGTGTTCACGTGCGAAACTGTTAGGTCCTGTGTTCGAATCTCGCATGGAGGGATCATGGATGCGCACTACTAAGGATTCCCACAATAGGACGCAACAGCTGTCCAGTGTTTTCATGTCTTTCATGATGGTCTATCATTAATCGACTCATGATTTCAAGTATATTAATGTAATATGTGAAAATAGACTTATATTTTGATGTTGGCTTGTTCTCTGAGCTGAATGGTTTGGTCGTGGAGCTTTCATCGTCCTTCTGAACGACATCATCAGCACAAACTTCGGGTAGAAGTGAAGTGTTTGAATTTCACCACATGTGATTCACAGCTTGTCCTCTGCACCTCGATGTTGATTGGTTCTACCCGAAGTTTGTGGTGATGATGTCGTTCAGAAGGACGATGGAAGCTCCACGACCAAACCATTCAGCTCAGAGAACAAACCAACATCAAAATCACTCACCTGAGCTACAAATCTTCTCCACCATCTCAGGATTTATATTTTATTACAGCAAACAAAACTACCTAAAAGAGAAATTGAAATATTCACAGTAAACGTTTATCTGTTCTATCTGAATGAACATGAAACGTTTTCATTCTGCCATATACGTGCTTATATGTTACTTAACCAGACATTATTCTAAAAAGGACTAATTTTATTGAAAGATGAAAAGAACATAACTATCATTCATTTCATCTATACTGTCTAACTCTAATAATAAAATCTGCCATAGATATTACTTTACTTTCAATGATAAACTTAAACTTTTTAAATCA